AGAAATATGGTTTATTGTTGAAAACTACTAAGTACATCATTAAGAGATCTACATCAACAGAAAAGTAGATACATAGGATAACCCTTGTGGAATGATTGTAGGAGAAATTTAGTAAAAACCAAGAATTTAAAAATCCAGAAGGAATTAAGACCAGTGTTCAATTATTTGTTTAATCAGGAATCAGGTGAAATATGGAGACATATTTCTAAGAAATGAGAACAACTAAATTTATAAAGCTGGATCCCAAGGTCAAAAATAGACCTGCAGTTGTATTACTTTGATATTTCAAGTATAACAGTGTTGTATTAGGGAAGAAAAAGATTTAAAATTCAAAGTCAAATTCTGCCTCTGCCAATTATTTCTGTAATAGGAAAATTGCTGTTTCTCCCAACTTCGAAGTTATCAACTTTCAAATACTATTAGCTTATTTATTTAGTGGGAAAAATATGAATATAAAAGAGTACTTGAGGGCTAGAGAGATAGTACAGAAGATGGGAGGGTTGGGAGAAGCAGAAGTAGAATAAGAGAAAAAGAAGAAGAAATGTTTAAATTGCTGTTTACACAGTCTAGTACATTAGTAAAACTCTCTAAGTGCTCAAATTCACTCTTGAATTGTCCAAACTCCATCTATTACTCTTCTCAGGAATTTGCCTAGAATTTGATGTGGAATGGTGGGTGGCTCTTTGATCTTGGGAACATTGTCTGAAATGTAAACTGTGGATACCAGATTCAGAAACCAGTTTAGGGGTTAATTCTCAGATTCATGCTGGTTTCATTTGGGGTAACTTTTCAGCCCAGTAGCAACAATAAAAGCAACAAGTGTATAAAAGCAAATTTAATCTTTTATAACTTTTTCAGAAGAAAGGCAGTATGACAACTTGGGTTGTTTATTCTTTCATGATAAGAAAATGCCCCAAGTTAAAACAAAAGAAAAGATCATGACCATCATTTGTACATGAAGGAACTCAGCCTTCAGGCAACTTCCTGCATGAAGTTCCCCCCCCATCAATCATATGTACCAAGGTGAAACCCACTGAGGTGTGTGGAAAGTACAGTCAGAAAAAGGGCTCCTGTATATAACACCCCCTCCTGAAACACCCACCTCCTGAAACTTAGGAAGGTTCAAATTAATGATTTTTTTCTTTACCTTCAAGACAGTGCAAAATAGCAATGGATAGTCAGTAGAAAACAATACTTCAAATTTTGAATTTTGATCTTTTCTGGACTAGTAATTGGAGATCTGGTGAGAATTCTCTGGTGATATATTGGTAGCAGGTACAGCTTGCTCTCCGGCAGGCCATCGCAAAGGATACTCTACACCTTCCTTTAAGATTGCATTCATCTGGGGAACATAAAGTAACAAAATAGGAGACTAACACCCAAGAATGGCCGAGATTAGTACCAGGAATTTTGTTCCATGGCTTGGAGACCAGCCACACATGCTAGGGGAAAAGGCAGCTCAGATAGAAAAGGGAGCACAAAATAAAGGGTGTTGGGAGGATCCTCCTAGGATGGGAGAAGCATGATGAAAGTAGACTATAGACCAAACATGATTGCCACTCAATGCCTCTATTGCAAACCACAACACCCAAAAGGAGAGAGAGAACAAAGGGGAATGCCTTGCCACAAAGGCAGGGTGGGATGGGGGAATGGGGGTTGGGAGGGATACTGGGATCCGTGGTAGTGAGAAATGAACACTGGTGGAGAAATGGGTATTTGATCATTGTATAATTGAAACCCAAGCACAAAATTTGTAAGTCTACAACTGTATCTCATGGTGTCTCACTAATAAAAATTTAAAAAAAAATAAAAGGGATAAAAAAATTTTTATAAAAAAAAGATGTTATTCCATTTGAGCAACCATGTTTTACAATGCTGATCATAATAGGGTTTCATGTGCACAATCTAACACCCTCCATCAATGTATACTTCACTCTACCATTGCTTGAATGTGACTTTCAGCCCCTCCTCTCAGCTGCAATCCAGCCTTGCCCTTAGAAACCTTTTGTAAACCAGTTCCCAAAATTTATGTTGCCTTTGTCATCCCCTCATTATGTTTCTTTAGTAGTAGTAGTAGTGGTAGTATTTTTGTGGTCACACTCAGCAGTACTAAGGGCTTACTCCTGGCTCTGCACTCAGGGATCACTCCTGGTGAGTTCAGGAGCCATACAGAGAGCCAGGGATTAAAGTCAGGTCAGTGGGTGCAAGGTAAGTGCTTCCCCTACCTGCTGTATTATCACTCAAGCCTGTTTCCTGTATGTATTTACACAGCACACAATGAGAGAGATCAATCTGTATTTTACCTCTTCACTCTGCAGTGTCTCTGATCAATTTTTCTCAAGTCTCAGCAAAAGAGAGGATTTGACAACCCTGTTTCTATCTCATCCTCACTCAGCAACTCATCTTATTTTCAAACTTCAACCAATATTTTGGTTAGGATGCTTTGTGAAGGGTGGGGAAACCATACAACCATTCTGCTTTTTCATTTTTTATCATAGTATTCAATGCATATAATTTACAGTCAAACATTTACTGAAAATTATTCTTTTGGTTAAAAATTTTAGGCCAGGTATATGCTAATCTATGTTAGAACACATTTAAGATAGGCTAGGCTAATAAGAAGCTTTGCAGATTGGCTGTACTAAATGCATTTTCAACTTAAGATACTTTGAACTTAAATTGGGCTTATCAGGCTGTAACTCCATCATAAGTGGGAGAAATTTATGCTTTCTTGCAACTATTCCCAGAAGATTTAGTCTTGGAGACTTTTGTTTAGGAGAGATATAAATTAGAGAAAGCCTAGGTTCTCAGCACTGAAAAAGTAGATGCAGTATAAGAAATTGGCTTCTGTGTCATATCATATAAATTTATTTTTCTTATTTGCCCTTGAGAACTTCCAATAAAACACTTCTGAGGTGCCATAGAGAAGAATATTTTTTAAATTCCTCAATCTCCTGAGCTAAGAAACAGTGTAAAACTATTTGAAAATCTTTGAAGATGATTTTATATGCATGACTCACTCTCGATTGATAGTTAGATAGAAAAATTACATACACATATAGAAAAAATAGCAGATACATTCATGTAACATATAGAAAATTAAATATATATTATTAAATAATAAAAGTATGTATTATATAATGTAGTTTTCCAATGTTCATATAATTTAGAAAGTCTTTTTTATTTAATTTTTATTAGTGAAACACCATGGAGTACAATTGTAGACTTACAAACTTTCGTTCTTGGTTTCAGTTATACAATGATCGAGTACCCATCCCTCCACCAGTGCCCATTCTCCACCACCAATGATCCCAGTAGCCCTCCCGCCTCCGCCACCTAAACCCCCCCCCCCCGCCCCGCCTCTGTGGCAAGACAAGGCACTCCCTTTTGCTCTCTATTTCCTTTAGGGTGGTGTGCTTTGAAATAGAGGCCATCGTGTTCGATCTATAGTCTACTTTCAGCACACATCTCCCACCCCAAGCACCCTTTACTTGGTGTTCCCATCCCTATCTAAGTTGCCTTTTTCCCTAGCATGTGCTGCCAGCTTCCAAGTCATGGAGCAAACCTCCTGGTACTTATCTCAACTATTCTTGGGTATTAGTCTCCCATTCTGTTACTTTATATCCACAGATGAGTGCAATCTTAGAAAGCCTTTTTTATATTAATTTTAAAAGCCACAAAATAATATGATTTCACCAGAGAGTACTTTCTTAATGCTAATAACTTTATGTGCCAACAGAATAACTCTCCATTTTCTAAAATATATAATATTAAAAAGCCTAGAGATAAGCAAATTTCATCTTTTAGATGATCAGCAAATCGGAAAACAATGCTTTCTTTTTCATTGGAGTAATCACTCACATAAACCCTAAAGTGATAGTTTCTCTCCAGGTAAAAACTCGAACATTGATAATTATAAGTATTTCACTGGATTATCCCTAAATCATTATATAATGAATATGAAGCTCCTTTTTAAGTGTGTAATGTATATTTTTCTGGGAATAACATTCCATGGCTAATATCAGATCCTTAGACATGTGGTCTTGAGGAAAAATAAAAAAAGCAGCCACGATTTTTGAGTATGTGTCACCTGAGTTGTACCCTAAACCAAAAAATGCATTTATATAAAAAATGAGAATAAATGGCATCACAGTGCAGTATGATATAACTATACAGATCCTTAATTTCCAACGTGTAGTATCGCTAACATTGGTGACAGAAATATTTGTATTTAGTTTTGAAGACATGCTTCCTGGGACTCCTACCTTAGACAAAGATTTCTAAAAAGCTATTTCACATACATATCTTTTGTGAGAATCAAGAAAGTCAATGGTTTAAGGCACTATCTTATATTGTTCAAAATCATATGGCCATCACAGTTATCAATACCCAACATTGCAGGTTTTATTTTTAAACATTGGGCTGGAGCAATAGCACAGCAGTAGGGCGTTTGCCTTGCACGCAGCCAACATGGCCGACCCGAGTTCGATTCCTCCGCCCCTCTCGGAGAGCCCGGCAAGCTACCAAGAGTATCTCGCCCGCACGGCAGAGCCTGGCAAGCTCCCCGTGACCTATTAGATATGCCAAACACAGTAACAACAAAGTCTCCAATAGAGACGTTACTGGGCCTGCTCGAGCAAATCGATGAACAACTGGAGGGCCTTTTTAAACATTAGCCATGTACCTTCCTTTAAGTCTTGTGATTTCAAAATCATTTTCACTTTTATAAACATTAAGTTTTATGTCAGGTTTTCTCTAACTATAAATAAAAGATTTAACACAGACAACACTAATATACACACATTCCTAGAAAATGTCAGGATATTTCCTCTGTCGCTATTGTGTAAAAGCATGCAATGAAATAGTAACAAATCTTGATCTTTCTGTTTAGTTTTCTTTTCCTGACATTTCTTGACTGGAAAAAGAATAGCTAATCTAATAACTCCATCATATTCTTAAGCGGATGGGAGTCCCACGTGCTACAACAGTCATAATGTGCACTAAAACTTTTTGCTGCTGTAGCACAGTAGCGCCGAGCCCGTGAAGTAGAGCAACGCGCAGGCAAACTCGCCGTAGGGGACTGTGATGATGTCCAGCCGCCGGTGCCTCCGCCCTGGCCCTGGCAGCCGGCACACGCCCAGGTACTTCTGCTGCTGGCCGTTCTCCTCCTGGCTCACCAGGTCATCGGTCAGGAACCCTTGCTGCCGAAGGTTCTCAAGGAGACGACTGAGGATGCCTTGATGAGAGGGACCATCAGGGTGAGTGACCAGCACATCCACGTCCCCACAGCTTGCCTTCCCCCGTCTGTATGAGCCACACGCCACACACAGCAGCCCGGGGCTCAAGGCCTGAGCGGATTCCCGGACCGTCTGTTCAATTTCTGCAGCCTCCTCCCTGGGCATGCGCTCTAGGAAGTCGTCATAGTGCTTCAGGCCAATGGCTTGCTGGGTGGTCAGCGGCACCTGGTCGCGGATGTCATCTAAGCTCCGGAAGCCCTGCTGATACCACATCTGGGCAGTCTTGGTGCCAGCCCCCCAGATGTTGGAGAAGAGTTCCAAGACCGGAACTCCCTTCCGAAATCCGACACGCCATTTCGTCAGTAAAGAAACAAACAGCACCCGGCCCAGACAAGGTCAGACCTGAACACCTGAAGAACCTGCCGTCAGTACTCATCAATACACTGGCTCGGCTCTTCACTCGCTACCTGTCTGAATGCAAGGTTCCATCTCAATGGAAAACCAGCAGGACCGTACTACTGTTCAAGAAGGGAGACATCCATGACATTGGCAACTATCGCCCGATCTGCCTATTGTCTGTCATCTACAAGTTGTTCACTCGAGTCATCCTGAATAGGATTGGCAGAACACTAGATGAAGGACAACCATGTGAGCAAGCAGGGTTCCGCAAAGGATTCAGCACCATTGACCATATCCACACGATAACCAAACTCATTGAGGTTTCTCGGGAGTTCAAGATGCCGCTCTGCTTAACGTTCATTGATTTAAAGAAGGCCTTTGATTCTGTTGAGACGGAAGCGGTCATTGAAGCCCTAGCCAATCAGGGCATTCAAGCCCAATACATCAGGATCCTCCATGAGCTGTATTGCGGATTCACTACCAGGATCTCACCATTCTACAAAGAGGTGATCGTTGATGTCAAGAGAGGGGTGCGGCAGGGTGATACCATTTCACCAAAACTCTTCAGTGCCACCCTCGAGAACATCATGCGACGACTGGAATGGGAAGGAATGGGAGTGAAGATAGATGGTCGGCAACTACACCACCTCCGCTTTGCTGATGACATTGTTTTAATAACACCAAACATCAGCCAAGCGGCACAAATGCTGGCCGACTTTGACCGTGAGTGTGGAAAGGTAGGACTACAGCTGAATCTTACGAAGACAATGTTTATGAGAAACAGCCTTGTTCCTGACGCCCCATTCGCTCTCAATGGAACGACCATCTCCGAATGCAACAGCTATGTGTACCTAGGTCGAGAGGTCAACATGACAAATGACCTGGCACCCGAGCTGCGCAGGAGGAAGAGAGCGGCTTGGAACGCCTTCAAGAACGTCGAAGAAATAGCTAAGAGGACGAAGAACCTCCGGCTCCGGGCACATCTCTTTGATTCCACTGTTCTTCCTGCATTAACATATGCCTCAGAGACCTGGGCCCTACGCAAACAAGATGAGAACGCCATTCAGGTCTCCCAAAGAAGAATAGAAAGAGCTATGCTTGGAATATCACGTTTCACTCAAATGAGAGAACGAATCCGGAGTTCTGACATCCGTCGACGATCAAGGATCAGGGACGCTGTCTCATTTGCCAAGGTGTCGAAAATCAGATGGGCTGGTCACATAATGAGATTTAAAGACGACCGTTGGACTAGAGCTGTTACTGATTGGATTCCACGGGATGTCAAGAGACCGCGTGGCCGCCCACCTACCAGATGGTCAGACTTCTTTGTCAAGGTCATGAACGATCGGTTTGAGGCCCTCCATGTTCCCGGAGCGAAGAGATGCCATTGGGCTACACTAGCACGCGACAGGGACAAATGGAGACGTTACTGGCGCCCGCTCGAGCAAATCGACGACTAACGGGAAGTTAAGTGATTAAGTGATTAAGCACAGTAGCACTGTCCTCCCGTTGCTCATTGATTTGCTCGAGCAGGCACCAGTAACACCTCACAACAAAATGTGAGACTTCTTGTTACTGTTTTCGGCATATAGAATACGCCATGGGTTGCTCGCCAGGCTCTCCGAGAGGGGCAGAGGAATTGAACCTGGGTTAGCTGCGTGCAAAGCAAACGCCCTACCCACTGTGCTATCGCTTCAGTCATTTTGCTCCTAACACCCCTCAAATTTGTCTATACTGAGTCTTTTCATACTTAGTTTCCAGTCATGTTAAATATCATCTATAAGTCCAGGCAAGTTTATGTCACAGCTCTTCCAGAGATGCTCTTTGCTGTTAATTAAATCAACAGCTGCAGGAATGCCAAGAATTAGATTTAGGGAGAGAGGCACTCATTGTTCAGATGGGTTCTGATGTTGTCAGTGTAGCTTGTATTCAAACTCTTGTTTTGCCCCATCTTACATAACATTCTTATCAGCCCACATTACAAAACAGAGCAAGAAAAAAGAATTCATACAAGACTTTCAGCAAAAGAACATAAGTTTCTAGATGTTTATACTCTTCAAAATTTAAAGAGATTAAGAGAAGGCAAAAGTAGAGCCTGATAAGCTCACAGTAATTAAAAACCTAGATATTAGTTCTGGAAATAAAACACAAGAATATTTTCTAAATATTGACAAAAAAGGGTTTTTTATTTGTTTGGGGTATTTTTTTTTTGGTTCTTTTTTGGGGGGTGGGCGGAACAACTGACTATTGCTCAGTATTTACTCCTAGCTCTGCTATCTGGAAACACTTTGGGCAACCCAGGGATCAATAAGGGGTGTCAGGGATCAAACCCAGGTTACCTGCATATAATACCTAACCCACTCTATTGTCTATCTGACTGTGGAAAAATAAGTTTAGTGTGACCAGTGCCAAAAATCTATCTACATCATTAACTTAAGGTCAGCGCATACAATGCATATTCAGCAAACTGATGAGACAACACTCTACCAATTTTGTTCATTAAATGGTGTAAAAAAAAGTTACTAAAATCTTTTCTGGTCTTATGTTTAACTGGCTATGCAAAACTACTCATTATTAACAACAGAATATAGATTAGTTCTAATCATCATGACAAAGATATGAACCAAAAGTCATAGATTTGGTTCTAAAGAAAAAAACATTTAACCTAGACTTCCCTACTTGAGAGAGGATAAAAAGAGGAGATCTGGTTTTTAAAAAATTTAATTAACTAATGAAAGATAAAGACTTATAAACCAGGGGAAAGTCCTATCTCTTAAGTGGAATATAGCTATAAAAACCATCTATTTTGAAGAATTAATGATTCACTCCATAAGAGTTTATTAACTAACTGATGCATGTAAATGTTTTAAAGCCCAATCACCGTCAACTATATTATGTGGTATTTAACATGAAACATAAAATGATATGACTAACAAGAGTGCCACAAACTGGTGTATTGAAACAGTTCAGTTGATTTTGACAAATGAAATATTCCTATTAACATAGTTCATTATTATTTTCTCAGACTTTTTTTTCTGTCCAGAATATGTTCACTTTGTTTACCACAACATTCACTAAACCTTTTTTTTAAAGGTTATCTAAATTTATTTATTTATTTACTCTTTGTTTTGTTTTAAAGTTACTCAGAGTTGTTTTATTTTATTTTATTTTAATTTTTTAATTGTGAGACATCATGAGGTACAGTTGCAGACTCACACATTTTTGTGCTTGGGTTTCAGTTATACAATGATCAAATACCCATCCCTCCACCGGTGCCCATTTCCCACCACCAAGGATCCCAGTATGCTTTTTGGGTCACACCTGACAATGACCAGGGGTTACTCCTGCCTCTGTACTCAGGAATTACTCCTGGCAGTGCTCAGGGGACCATATGTGATGCTGGGAATTGAACCCGGATTGGCCGCATACAAGAAAAACGCCCTACTCACTGTGCTATCTCTAAAGTCCCAACAAAACCTTTTTGAGAAAAAAAGCTTTAAATTTATAAGGGAAGAAGATAATATTAAAATAGGGTTGAATTTAAGTGAACTGGGTATTACAGGAATTAATGCATTTTAAACAATAGTGTCTGATATCAGTTAATGACTATGGCAAAAGAAATAAAGATCTAGGTAGTGAAATAGTCTCCTTCTCTGAGTGCTGGCAGAGATTGGGGGAGGGGTAAACTTCTAAGGAAAACATCATAGCAACAACCAAAAACTCAGTATTACATAGTGATCGTACGTGGGATATTACATTTAGCTTTGGATGACAATAAAAAGTAGAATCAACTGCATCCGATTTATTTATTTTTTTATTTTTTATTTTTTTCTTTTTTTATTAGTGAAACACCATGAGGTACAGTTATAGGCTTACAAATTTTGTGCTTGGGTTTCAGTTATACAATGATCAAGTGCCCATCCCTCCACCAGTGCCCGTCATCCACCACCACGGGTCCCAGCATCCCCCCCACCCCCCATCCCCCCCCGTCCCATCCTGCCTCTGTGGCAGGGTATTCCCCCTTGTTCTCTATCTCTTCTTTTGGGTACTGTGTTTTGCAAGAGAGGCATTGAGTGGCAATCATGTTTGGTCTATAGACTACTTTTAGCATGCTTCTCCCACCCTGGGAGGGTCCTCACAACACCCTTCATTTGGTGCTCTCTTCTCTATCTGAGCTTCCTTTTCACCTAGAACGTGTGGCTGGCCTTCCATTCATGGAGCAAAATTTCTGGTACTAATCTCAGCCATTCCTGGGTGTTACTCTCCCTTTTTGTTGCTTTATGTTCCCCAGATGAATGCAATCTTTCTGTGTCTATCCCGCTCTTTCTGACTCATTTCGCTTAACATGATACTTTCCATGTAGTACCACTTGTATGTAAATGTCATGACTTCGTCTTTTCTAACAGCTACATAGTACTCCATTGTGTAGATGTACCAAGTTTCTTTAACCAGTCATCTGTTCTCGGGCACTCAGGTTTTTTCCAGATTCTGGCTATTGTAAAGAGTGCTGCAATGAACAAACAATTGCAGATGTCACTTCGACTATACCTTCTTGCCTCTCTGGGATATATTCCCAGGAGTGCTATAGCTGGGTCAAATGGCAGATCAAATCCTAATTTTTTGAGAGTCGTCCATACTGTTTTCCAAAAGGGTTGGACCAGCCGGCATTCCCACCAGCAGTGAAGGAGGGTCCCTTTCTCGCCACATCCGCACCAGCATTGGTTGCTTTTGTTCTTGTGGATGTGGGCCAGTCTCTGTGGTGTGAAATGATATCTCATTGTGGTTTTAATCTGCATCTCTCTGATGATTAGTGATGTAGAGCATTTTCTCATTAGTCTTTTTGCCATTCGAATTTCTTCTTTTCGAAAGTTTCTGTTCATTTCCTCACCCAATTTTTTGATGGGGTTGGGTGATTTCTTCTTGTGGAGTTTAAC